CCCAGAAGGCAAACGATAGGCATCCGCTAGGCCGGCCCTTATATAAGCAGTCTGCAAGCCCTCATTGGTTGCTAGTGCTGGCAAAGACTCTTTCGCAATTCTGCCTGCCGCAGCAGTCTGTCCAAACCGTTTTCCCTCTGCAGCCCTGGCAGGGGCCCTTCTAAATAAGGAACAAAAGCAACCATGCGAGGGTATCATGAAATAGTATCATGTCTGACTCATGTTGAATCTGAAGAAAAGTCGGATATGTCTCCACATGGATCTGGGTCAAAGTTCAACACCCCAAATACATCATTGCAAACCTTATCCCTTGAACCATTCTGCCTTTTGTTGGCAGGGTCACCACACTATATATATATATATGTGTATTTATTTGGTGTTTGTATTATACTATATATAGTATAAATATATATATATATACGCTGCTTACCCTGTGAAGTGACCCATGTGACCCTCAAAGAAAAAGAACGGTTCAAGGAAAAATATATATATATATGTTATTTTAGATTATTTTGAATTGGATCTCTCTGTATATATATATAACTATATATATATATCATCTATGCTTCTTCGGTCCAGCTCACCACCCGAAGATAATATGGAGAAAGTCTTCATTTAAAACCTGCCTCATGAGCACCGATAATTCTGTCCTGCCCGGGTGCGGCACAAAACTCCCACAACTTCGCCATTAAAGTGGTGTCTTGTGTTCGAGCTGGTTGACAAGATCCCCGCGTCGAACACCCTGAGGGCTGTTTGTCGTCAGGGCTTTTGAGGAAAGAACTGCAGGAACCACAATCTAGAGGCTTGGGAAATGCCTGTCACATCTACAGCAACTGCATCCAAAGGTATGTGGCTTTTGCAGACAAGTGGTGCACAGAAAGCGTCACAAGCACGGTAGAACTGCAGAACTTCTCTGCTTCTATGTCTTCTATCGCCGACTAGGATGCAAATGTCACTCGCGTGTCGTCGGCTCTTCTCTCCTGGATAAGTATCATCATCTCTGCAACTGATTCTTGGAAGGAACGCGCTTCCTTAGAGCAGAAGTACTGACGACCTGGATTCGATGAAACCCAACGGCTTCAAGTTCAGTTCATGTTCTTTCAACGCCAAATCGAGGGCGGGAGTGTGTTCATCTCTCCCTGGGTGCCCAAGCTCAAGCCGTCAGAACCGTCCGAAAGGGCGCTCCGAGTTGTCCGAGGGGCCGAGGCGTCAAAGTCCAACCCCAATCGAGGAGGCGCCTGGCCAGTGAGAAATGTCTCCTAGTTTAGATCAAACAACAAGCAGCTGGACCTTCCAAGTGTGAATTCACCCTGGGATGTAAAAATACAGAGGTCTCCAGCAACCGTTTCTGGTCCTATACCCCCTTTTCTGGGCACTAAACGGCTCATGAAAGCCGACAAGATTCTCATCGGAAACAAGCGAATCTTGTCCGATCATGGCCCGGAGTCTGGAGTATCATTGTATATCTGCTAGTCTGTTGGTCGACCTGCTCATAATAACAGCCGAGAAGGGCTGTATGACACACGTCCGGCGAAAATCAGGGACACCTGCACTTGCACTTTTGCTTTCACTGATGTCCCATGCCTGGAGGCCATCGCTACTATCGCTAGGTTGGAGGCCACCGCTACAAGGGTGGAGGCCATCGCTACTAGGTTGGAGGCCATCGCTCGTAGGTTGCCCTCAACTCGTCCAAGAACAAGCACAATGCAGCCGATCCTCTAAGGGTCGCGTCATAATGTGCTCCGCCATGCAACGCTCCCAACGTATCCGAAGGCAGCTGTGTCAAAGCATAAAAACTGCGGCGTACCGACGACTGTGTGGAAAGACTTCAAGGCGGTTGAACATGGATCATATTGGATCTTGGAAGTGGGTCCCAAAATGAGCAGTGAATCCTCCAGGAACCCTTCACATGGAAACATGACAGGTTTCTCGAGCTCTTGCAGGTCCAGGTCGCCTCGTTTTCACGGAGTCCACACGGTCGCCCGACCTCCGACCTCTGTCCACAAGCTCGGGAGAAGCCACCGAGGGAGTCGACGAGGGACGGAGGGAGTGTGAGCCTTTGTGTTCAAAACTCGGCTCTCTGGCCTTGAAACTTGGCAGAGGGGCCAGGTACCCTCCAGCACTTGCTGATGGGAAGGCACACAGCCTTCCAAATGGCGGTCAGGTCCAATTTGGCACTTCGTTCACGGATTATTAGTATGAATCCCGTCTGTTCGGACATCTCCCACCCTCCTTACAGCAAAATCGCGCACCAAAACGACAGTAGGCTCCATCTCCGAGTCCAACGCAAAAGGAAGACTGTGATCGGTCCCCTGACCGAGGAGAACACTCCGCGTCCCGAGTGTTCGTGCACCTCTCGTGGCGGTCGCCACCGATTGGCACATTGGCACAACCGGTGTGGAGAGCCATCCGCCGGCACCGAGGAGTGTATCGATCATGACTCGGCCTATAGATCTTAGTGGGCCAAAAACCCATAAATACCCATAACCAGTAATGAACATCAGGAGGCGCGCGAAGGCGCCTGGTGAGCGGAAGAGGCTCACATCGAGACGTGCTTCAGCTTGCGAGGCCCTGCTAGGCTGCTTCAGCTTCATCTGCCACTTCCCAATGAAAAAGACCTGAAACAGATTGAAACATGTTTGCTTTGCATTGACCCCGCAAGCCTTTCTGTTTGGAAGATCTGAGGAGAGCAGATTTCAGTCTCCTCACATTCTCTGAGACGCGGCTCGTGACGCGGGCGATGCAACTGACCGCAGTGTTTGTTGGGTCTGGTCGACCTGTTCTCCTGCAAACCGGATGACGAGAACCTGAGTCAAATCGGCACGAAGCCGGCGAGCAAATGCGCCGGCGAGCGGACCTGTTTGTGAACAATCACAGCTGTTCAGAAGCAATCGGCCACCTACACATAGCACGAGCTTTGCACAATGGTCGCGTAAGCGCTCAACAGTGCCTGAGGATGCACTTGGTGCCAATTCTGTATGCTTAGCGCACGCAGGCGCCGACGGAACAAACAACGAGTTCTGGCAATATCCTCCAGCGAGATTTCACCTTGCCACAGCCAAAAAAAGCCAGCAGCGTTATGAAGCCACTTTCCACTAAATATAGTCATTGGCGTTTATGTTGTGTGCCTTTGATGACTAAGTTGCCATAGTCCCTCATCCTTCCCTCAGGCATCTGCTCAGCTCTCAAGATTCCAGCCATGCAAGAGCTTCTCATGTAAGGAAGCTGCATGCACCGCCCACAACGAAAATTTGGTGAGTTTGATCTGCTCAAGTGGCTCCTGTGCTACTTGGGTGCAACAAAGGGATCGTGTGAGTCCATGTTCGAACAGCTTGGCCAAGTGAGCAGAAAAATTAACTAACTACTCTCTAGTTGGTCTAAAGATCGGCAAAAATGCGGAGCTCGAGAGACGGAGCCGAAGCCTCACTTGGAGTCTCTCATGACAAATGCCTCACCTGAGCATCAAACAAGTATGTTTCATCAACTGAGCAGCTTCAATCGACAAATCAACGCCTCATGACTCTTCTTTGCAACCACACCTTCTTGCGACCTTCAACTCCCAGAACTTCACTGTGCATGTGCGTTGCGCAACGAGCCACCAGCCCGAAGAGGAGGCACCCTGGGGTAATAGTGGAAGGCCTCTTGGGAACACCAGCAGCCCTGCAAAGCTCCTGATTCAGGTGGACAAGTTCACTGATATATACTGTAGAACCCCAAGTGCATGTCCAAAATTCAACACCAAGCGAAAAGTATACCATCATACCACTTCGATCTGGTGGTGTGGCCTTGGCGTCCCACACAGGTGCAGCGCAGGATAAGGCCTTTCGGCAAAGAGGACTTGACAGCGAGGGCGTCCAATGGATTCTGCAGGAGGTTCAGGACCTGGACACAAGTCTCTGAGGCAGGCGGAAAATTGCCAAACCTCCAGTGATGCGAACCTCAAATGTATAGCCTTTTGTATCCTTTTGTTTCTTTGGTGAAATTGAACTTGCCAAACTCTCGGTCTTTCATTATGATCGTCAAGGCTGCCTATCTGAAATGATCACTTTGGCATAGGTCAACTTTCTTGCTTTGCTTTCTCGCCAGATTCCCAGCCTTCAAATCCAACAAGGGTCCAAACACACCTGGTGCCAGCGCCTGGCGATGACGGACTCTGGCACTGGCATGGTGCGATGAGCCATGGAACTGGCTCTTAGCAGTTCCAAACAAAAAGCTACGGCCACTCCTGCCCTTTTCGCCCAGGATTGGCCAAGGTCCCGAGTCCCATTCCTATGCAACATGTGGGCGCCTGAAGCTGGTTCTCCGCTAGGTTCAGGTTCTCCAGGCACCGCAAATGCTGAAAGGCGTCCGCCTCACGGGAGGCGACGGACGAAAATAGCCGTGGTCGCCGCCGCGTGGTCGCCCCGCGTGGTCGCCGAATCCAACGTGCCATGGATGGATGGCGTCACCCTGCGGATCAAAACGCTTCGAAGCCTCCAAAGACTGGAGACGATTCCGCTGCAGAGCCAACCATTGAAGGCTTGGCAGGTCAAGCGATGGCAGTGCCTGCAGTGGACTGAGGGTTAGACTTCGACTTACGCCGCTGAAAACTAACATGGACCCTGAAAACCACTGGTTTGTAAAGGAGGGTCCATGTTCGTTTTCGGGAGTGTAATCATTCGGTCTTCTCACTGCAACTTTCGGCGAAAGACTGGAGGGAAGAAGTGCCCCGACTCCAAACGAAGCATGGGGAGGCTCAAACGACCCCTGCAGCTGGTTTCACCTTCGACACTTAGGCCCACTCCTCCAAGAGGTTGTCACTGAGATCAAGGATTCGAAGAGACAAGAGATGTCGGAAGGCTCTTGGCTGAATCACCTGCCACGGGTCGGACGATCCCACGAAAAACGGGCATGTCACTTCCAAGTTCTGCAACGTCACCCCGTTTCACGGCAGCCCGACCTCCTAACCCGGGCGCCACTGTCGTGCCTCCAAAAGGTTTCCAGCCAAATCCAGCTCCTGAAAAGCTCAGAAAGGAAACCTGTTCGGCCTTCGCTACCAGTTACCAGTTGAATCTTCTGCAACCCCCGATCTTCAAGAACAGTGCGACTGCCATCGCGACTGCGAGCCGCCCATCGCCTCTAAGCGGGGCAAGGCCAAGGTCTCGGGGTTGATGAGCCGCAAGGCACAGTCCGAGAGCTGGAGGATCCGAAGATGTAAGATGCCCTCGGGGGGAACACCGAGGACAAGCAGCGCAGAGGGGGCATTGTGAGTGAACGCGCACAGGATCAGCTGACGTTTTAGGTCGGGTCTCTCACAAATCTCCCGAAACTGCGGAAGGTGAAGCTGCGGACAGTTATGTAGAAGCTCTTCCTTCGAAGTTGGTCAATGCAGTGGTGTAGCTGCTTCAGGGGCTTGGATCTCTCGTCACCCTATCTGGTGTTGGCTATGCTGGCTGAACAGTTGGTGTTGGAGAATGTCTGCAACAATGCTCGCCTTCATTGCTTTTTAGCACACCTAGGCCCGACATCCAAAAGCACCCACATCCCGCCACACGAAGGATGAGGCCTGGAAAATGCCCGCTGGAAGATACGCCAGTCGGTTCTGGGACACGTCGAGGACGCGTAAACGTGGCATCTGTTGGAAGGTCCACTGGGTCAAAGCGGAGAGGCTCAGATTTCCTGGGTGAAAGCAAGTGGGAAAAGCAGCGCACTGAGAGGAATCTAGCCAAGTGGGAGTCATCGAATCATCGAACCTAGTTTATAATATAGATTGCACACGCCCAGAAGAAAAGTGATCGCAACCCATGCTCGACAAACAAAAGCCAAGGGATGAGAGCTGCCGGCATGTTTGGGGTTCCTGTTAGCTGTCCGCTTCAGGAACTTCTACACACCTCTTCAGCCACATAGCATGAAACGTGGAAACCCAAAAATCTGATGCCAACATCCCAGCACAAGCAATCGGCCGGGCCATGTGGGCTTTTGCACCGCATGAGAGAGAGGCTCCCATTACAGCCAAGCGGCGCAGGCGCAAGGTAAACAAGGCCGGCAGTGGAGGCAAAATGTGCGGATGATCTCTGTTTGGAGGCTGCAGCGGATTGTCACCTGGGCAGTTGTGGCCGCAACAGCACCCCACGATATCACCGCACGCATGGGGAGAATGAACTGGACATTTGTTGGCAAAGAGCCAAAACCAAAAGGTAGGGAGAAGCGTCGGAAGCTTTTGGACCAAGACCTCATGTCCCCTCTGGAGGCCAAAATCCTTAGCCCTAGCATCCCTGCATGATCTGCCAAGCAAATTGAACATATGAGAAAATATAGAGAAAGTAACTACATCACGTCGCATCTTCCGTGACAGCTGTGGCTGTGATTTTGGAGGCTCTCAGTCAGCAACATCAAAATCACCGCCTCGCATTGCCGACGAGCAACGGCCAAACATCTCCCGGACAAACGAAAAAGCAAATCAATATCTCCTCCGTTTGTCCTCTCCTTTTCCAAGTGAGCGTCTTCCAGTGACCCGCTCCGTGCCAGGGCGACCCAAAATCGAGAAGATTGCGACCGGAATGTCTTCCGAAACCAAAAAACTGGATGAAAAACGGATTTCCCATCTCCCTTCCGGAAGCCTTGGACAACCCCCGGGCGGAACGAACGCACCTCGTCGTTCCGAACGCGAGAACGCACCGCGGTCGGTTCAGGGCCCAGTGACTGAGGTCCAGGACCTGCAGGTTCATCGGCAAGTCGGGCATCCAAACGATATCATTGGCGGCCAACTGAAGCTCCAGCAAACGAGTCAAAGGAGCCAGCCTCACGGTGCAACTTGTCGCAAGTTGCCAGTCGCCTCGTGTTTATGTGAATCTACATTACATGTGTACATCACTACTGTTCAGAGTACCTCCCAGAATTCACTCTGCGTACTCTCTCCACCTTTTTCGCTCACACTCTCTGCAGCTATGGTCTCTGCACGTCGCCCTGACGTTGTTGCGTTGGAAACTCACAAACTGTGAGCAGTGTTCATAGCTACACATCCATTCCTGGATGAAGCTTAGATACCCATCTATGGAGACTCGTCCACCCAGACGTATCCATAGCGATGTATCTACCCAACCAGGGAACCTCCCTGGAATGAACACTAGACCTGACAACAGGTCGCCCTTAAAAGATACTCCCAAGGCGGGGGAACCAACGTGGACCCGGCCATAGGGGTGGGCTGGGTGGGACAGAAACTCCACTGTCCCACTTTTGGCTTGAGCCAAAATGGACAGTGTACCAAATGTAATGAAGACTGTGCACCCAAACCTGCCCAAAGCTCGACACAGTTTTACATTACATGTGTACATCACTACTGTTCAGAGTACCTCCCAGAATT